ACACACACACACACACACACACACACGCATGCACGCGCGCACACACACACACGCACACACACAACCACACATGCACACACATATAAACACACACAACCACACATGCACACACATGCACACACACACACACACACACACACACACACACACACACACACACACACACACACACGCACACACACACACACACACACACACACACGCACACATGCACACACACACACACGCACACACACACACACACACACACACACACACACACACACACACACACACACACACACACACACACACGCACACGCACACGCACACGCACACACACACAGTGTAGTGTTTCACAGTGAAGCATGGTGCTCCATGGTAAAGGATCTGATCTCTAAAATAGGTGTGTGAATAGTTGTGTAATATGGTGTTACAGTAAAGAAGGTCACAGTTCACTTTGTTAAAGTATAGTTTTTCAAAGTTCAAACCGCTGTGGTGTGACGCAGTGTGTCATGAGACGCTCACGCGTTAACATATCTGAGTACAGCGAGTTATAAAAAACATTACATCAAAGTACAGTTTGTTGAAAATCTCAGAAAAAACACTAAAGTATCTCAAAGTAATAGTTTGTCAGGACACAAAGTTGTAGTATAATTTGTCAAAGTTTTTTATGAGCAGTAAAGATTTAAGAGTCTCATAGTATTGTATGTGGAAAAAAAAAAATAGTATAGTATCTCGAATAAATGGTCCCAGTATTGCATGTCGAAAAAATACTATAAAATATCAGAGTAAACGACGTGAAGTGAAGTCCACACAAAAAGTCCTTTATATAATACTCAGTATGATCAGATCCCCTGATGGTTGCTCCGTCTCTCCTGCAGGTGCCGACCGCTTCATGGACGATGTGGCCCTTATGATTGGCTACCGGCCGTTCCCCTGGATCAAGTGGTGCTGGTCCTTCATCACGCCCGCCGTCTGCATGGTGAGACTCAACAGCACGGGCCCCGTAGACATAAACAAAAACAAATAACTGTTTTGTTTAACGCTCTCCAACGCAGTATTTTCATTATTCATAATCGGAGTAGAGCTGCTGCTCCTTAATGTTGAGAGGAGCCGGTTGAGGCTTCTGATCAGGACCCTCCGCTGTGCCTTCCTTTAGAGACCCCGGGGTCCACCCAGAACACGCCGGAGAGATTATAAATCTCATCTGGCCTGGGAATGCCTCGGGATCCCCGGGAAGAGCTGGGAAATGTTGCTGGGGTGAGAGACGTCTGGTCTACCTTGTTTACCTTGCTGCCACTGACACCGCGATACGAGGCAGAAATGGATAGACTTTGTTAAAAGTAAATTCAGAAATGCATAGTCTAGGGTTTGTCTGGGGCAAATGTGTCTCCAGCTGTTTCTCCTGCCATGACAGCTGGTTTTATGCTGGATGTCCTCTCCTCTCCTCTGCAGGGAATCTTCATTTTCCACCTGGTGAACTACAAGCCTCTGACCTACAACAACACGTACGTGTACCCGTGGTGGGGCGAGGTGATCGGCTGGTGCCTGGCCCTCTCCTCCATGCTCTGCATCCCCGTCAGCATCCTCTACAAGCTGGTCAGCGCCAAGGGCACCTTCAAGGAGGTCAGCACACACGCACGCACGCACGCACGCAAGCAAGCACGCACGCAGACAGACAGACAGACAGACAGACAGACAGACAGACAGACAGACACACACACACACACACACACACACGCACACACCGCAAACACACACACGCACACACACACACACACACACACACACACACACACACACACACACACACACACACACACACACACACACACACACACACACACACACACACACACACACACACACACACACACATGCACACTTTAAAAACAAAGAAAATCAGTGAAACATTTCTCACTGATTATTCTTTACTAATAAAAAGCCCCAGTTGTTTTTAAAACGTTTTATTGTATTACCTTAAGTGCTGTACTTCAGTAAAACAACATTGGTAATAGTTACTTTGCAGATTGAGATCATTAACCTCCTTCCACCTTTGGAGTTACTCGTTCATAAATCAGAAACGTACCTAACCTTTGCCCCCTGCTGTGTTTCAGCGCTGGGCCCACCTCACCACCCCGGTGTGGGGGCACCACCACCTGGAGTACATGGCCCCCGACCTCCGGGCCCTGACCTCCAATGCCCCCGGCACCGAGGAGAACAAGGTCATCATCTTCGAGAGCGTCATGTAGGCGGGACTCTACATCTCCCCCCCTCCCACCTACCACAAGACGACCTCCGCCTCCATTGATTGGTCGTCTCCTCGGATCAACCAATCGATGGCCGTCCTTCAAACCTTCGATCGTCACCGGGCAGACCAAAGCTGGAAACAATATTTTCCAACCCTGTAAAAAAAAGAACAAAGCGGCTCCTCCAGGCGGATTATTACGATTTTTTTTAACAATCACAACTTCCTGTTTTTCCCCTTCAGAATAAAACAAAAATGTGAGATTAAAACCAGCAGATAAATGTGTTCTGTACCTGCAAAGGGCTCCATCTTGGAAACGTGTAAATATAATATTACAAGGACGCCATGCAACGTTTTTTTTTTATCTGTAGGAGCTGAAGAAGAAAGAGTTTCACTGTGTTCACAAACAGCTGCTGGGCTTCCTCCATGTTGGAGTGTCTTGTCTCTGGGTGGGCGGGGTGGACACACACACACACACACACACACACACACACACACACACACACACACACACACACACACACACTCACTGCCTCAACAGGGACTGGTGCTCGAGACTTGTGGGTAAACGTTTTGAAAGTGTGTGTGATGGCTTTCTGCAGACGGAGTTGTAGACCGACTGAGACCTGGAGAATTAACAGAGGGCGTTTGCGCCGTAACGGGATTTAAAAAACGCTTAGATTCGTAGTCCTGTCGTGAAGCGAGAAACACTAAAGGAATGATGGTAGCCATATTGCAATTAGACAAGCAAACGTTTCTGAGTGTCTTTGACTAAGTTTTTCAAAGTGTGTCAGCTGGACTTACAGTGTCAAAGAAAGCCACTTCCTGTTACGGAGCAAATTCCTCATCGCTCGTGATGTCTCTGAGTTTGTGAGCACTTTCTGAGACGCTCTGATTTTTATTGATCTAGAAACCGGATCCGGACTGAACTCGTTGCTTCCTCATGAAATACTGTGAATGACCAGCGTGATGTTTTCTGACCGCCCAGCTCTGTTTTAAATCACACCGTGGTGATATTAGATCTGATATTAGAAGGAAAAGCTCCAGTGAGAATTCAGTCAATGATCATCTTATGTGTTTCATATTAACCAAATGTAGTTTTCTATCAAGATGTAGGATGAAGGAGAAGCTTAAACCAAAAAAAGCTACATCTACCCGTTTTTTCTGGAGATTTCGACCACAACGCTTTGGCTTCCTCTGTAAAAACCAGCTTCAAGCTCTGCATGCAGACAAACAAATTAAATAGTTAGTATCACGATCTTAACTGGCTTGACCCAGAGAGAAAATGAACCAGCATTTACGTTATTATATTTAATTTGGCTGATGTTTTTTATCCAAAGCAACAAATGTAATATTTAAGTAATTGGCAAAACATTTATCAAGAAGAATCTGAATTCTTTGGACTGTTCTTCAGACAAAAAAAGGCAATAAAAGAAGGAAATTGTGACACAAATTGTATGGTTTGATTAATAGTGATTGGCATATTAATGTTGAATAAAGAAAATTATTACTTCCTGGATGAAGTATGAACTGCTCCAGGTTCAGTTGAAGTACTAAAACAGCTCCTGCTTTAACACAAAATCAGGTTAATCCTGTGATCACACTTCACTACAGATGAAATACCTGATATGCTCCGTGTCTCCTCATCCCGAGTCCACCATTAGTCCCGGTCCGTGAACTCAAGCAGAAGTTAAGGACAGATGTCAGAATAATATTTTAATCAGAGACTGAAACCACACTGGATCTGACCTTTAACCTTTAGGGTCTTCGTTTCTCGCCCCCCCCCGCCGGGTCGACTGAAGTGCCAAACGGAGCGATTCTGATCCCAGATCAGCGCTCCAGGCTGCCAATATCATTCAGTATCAACACTATTCTTCTTCTTCTCTGCCTCGTCGCATCATTAAGGCTGAAGTCGTCCGACCAATCAACACGCTCTCCTCTTTAACAGCTGATAGGAAACACAGGCAAACCCTAAACTCTGGTTTCCTGTGTTAGAATAAAGTCTGATAACAGAACCGGATTTCATCTTTTAATGTCTGAAAGAGTCTAGAACTGGTTCTGCTCCTCTGTGATCGTATTGGACTCGATTCAGAATATTAAAAAATGCAGCAGTATAGATCACAAAGCTGCAAAAGTAATCGATCAGCTTTTGCAAAATGATCTGTTCAGAAGTCACCACAAAACATAACAATCAAGCAGATATTTTAATATTTTTTAAATGTACATGTAACAGGATCCTTATCATACATATTCGCTAGGTCTTAATCTCTATTTAAATATTACAATTAGAAGTAGTATTAGTTTAAAAGACCAGTATGGGTCCGGCTTTACTGCTACATTCCCAGCAACACATTTATTTGGTTGTTGGTTTTATTTAATCAGACGGTAATTTAACCCTTTTATTCTAATTAAATCTATAAGAGTACATTGATCACGTTCTAATCCCACACTTAGATACATATGTTTGAGATATGCAATGTCTAATTTCACTCTTACTAATTCCTTTGCTTAATTTAAACTATACAAGTTATACACAATGTCAAATTATTCCAAGAAATACATAAAAAACAAAAAAATAATTCTTTAGCAATCAGAGAAATTAGGGATTTTAAATCTATTTTCTCTAATAACTTAAATCAGTGTTTTATTATTGACCTGTGATCAGCTGGTGGAGAGATGAGAGCCTGAGGACTCAACCTGATGCCAAGCGTTGCCTTACGTCAGTGGCGGACTGGCCATCGAGACGTTCGGGACGAATCCCGATTGGCCGGTACTGAAGTGGGCCGGCCGGACGTTGTGGGCCGGTCGGATAAGTCACTAGCACCCCTCCCCCTTGACAATTTACTAGCGGTACCGAGGTGGGCCGGCGGTAACGAAGTGGGCCGGTCGAGAGTCCCGGGCTACTACCCAGTCCGCCCCTGCCTTACGTCGTTGTCTTAACTCCAGAGCCAATCACTGTACAGCTCTGCTTTAAATCCAACCAATCAGCAGTCTGCATGCGGGGGGCGTGTCTACAACTCTGTCTCCCAGCAACCACTCGGCATCCACCTATCACATAACCATTAGAATGTAAAATATATATTATAAAAAGTATACATTTGCACATTGTTGTAAAATAATGTCGCTAGCACTTTGGAGAAGAGTCACGTTAGAAATCATGTTTTGTTTTACATATTGTAAAATGAATCAAAGATGGAGGCTTTTATTTTGCTGATACATACAGTATGACAGATATATATATTGAATATCTTTGTGCGTTATCTATATTTGATGCAGTATGTGATTTTGATGATGACTGATTGTTGACGCTTTAGCCGGCGAAACACCAGCGACGAAGCGACGCCGGCTACCTCACTTCCCATTTTAGACTTTCAAAATAAAACTCCTTTTCAGCTTTTTATGCAAATGTCTTGTCAGCGGTGGCGTCGGCTGGCGGCAGGAGAGGATTCTGGGAAGTGTAGTTCAAAACATTTCCCTCCTCGGCCTGTTTCACGTTGCTGCTTTTAAAGGTTCTCCAGCACCGAGGAACATATTTGAATCTGAAAATCTGACATGAAGGATGCTAAATTTACGCTGTGGATAAAAACAAATTGAAATTGAGAATGCTTGGGTTTTAAGTTGGACTTTTATATGGCTCTCTAAATCACTTAATTGATTACTATTTTAACACGTTGGTGCTGCGAGACTTTTAAATGGTGTCTGACCGGCTAATGTAAACAATCAGCGATAGGCGGGGCTTTTATTTTTGGCGGGGTTTGCTGCGATGCAGTGATGTTAAGGCTTTGTGTGTCTCTGAACGCACCACGAAAGGGAATGTTATTTTTGTTTTTGTTCTTTTGATTTCTAATGTTCAAAGTGCTCAAGTGTTTTGAAGAGTTTTAGTTTTAGAGGATTTATTTTTCTCTCTGTGTGTATTTCTGAATATCAGTATTTCGTCCTCAGACCCCCGTCACGGCTCAGACTCACGTTATTATTATTTTAAAAGCAGATAAAAAAATAATCTGCTTGTTTTTTTTCATAGATTTAATTAAAGAAATGTCGACATAATGGCGGATGTTTAAAAATACTGCATTTTGTGTTTAAAAATAGGATAAAAAATGTTTTAAAGGCTGAAAAAATGCCAAGAAAATGATAAGAAAATGTCAGTTTTTGTTGAAAAAGGCAGAATAAACGTCTTAATCCCACCTGCACTATCACACCTAGGAAAATATCTTCAGTAAAAAATATCAATAATATTAACAGGAAGTAGAAAATAAGAACTACATATCCCAGCAGTCATTGGGAGCCTCCAGAGCGTCTTCATACTATGGTATCAATCAATCAATCAATCAATCAATCAATCAATCAATCAACCAATCAATCAATCAATCCAATGAATGAGACATGACCATATATGGAGAGTTCCTGTAGCCAAGTCTGTCTCTTCATAACTCAAAGCCACAAAATGAACTGAATTTCATTTAAAATAAACAAAGAAACGTTTCTTTTAAAGTGAGAATAAAAAAAGACTTAACTGAATGTGGTTTCGTCCAATCAGAGCCTCTGCTTGCTCCAATTAAAGAATCAAAATGATGAAGAAAGACCAGACCAGCCAATCACTTGAACACAGGGTGAGCGATTGAGATCAGATCCAAAATGTAATGGTTTCTTCATGGATCCATGCTTCACCAATTCACCAGATGATATGGAAATAGGTAGAGAGTAGTTTTTGCTTAATCCCTCTTACAAACAAACCTATAATTGGCGCCCTAGCTGGTAAAGTTCATTATATAGAAGAGTGTAAAAACGGACTGTCCACGGTTAAAGCCAATTTTAATGGATACACAGTTTATATTGTGATTAATATGTCACATTATTATTATCCTTTGAATTATCTACAACTATATGCAGTTGTGTGGTGATTTCGATCAACTACAAGTTAGAAATCACCCACTTATCTACAGTCAGACACACCTGAAGGGACGGTAAAATAAATACTGATTGCACCTTTAAAAAATGATCTACTAATCGGAAATTAATGTAGACTTTTTGGACTTTAGTTTGACGGAAAACATCAGTTTGAAGAGTCACATAGTAATTAG